GACATCTTATAATATGAAACAGAAGAAATATTAGTTTAATTGAGTGTCTAAAAGAGGGGGTATTAAGTGTCTATGTGAAGTAACTATAAAAGAGGAGGAGTATCTACAGTTTTAATTTATTATTATTTTCTATTTTTTAAAAGATACTCATCTCTCCTCAATTCACCAATAGAAGTGGTTTTAGAGCATCTCCAATGGTTAGATACTCTAAGAGAGTATCTGCCCAATATTATCATAGTATTTTAAATATAATTATATTAGTTAATTAAATTTTAAGTGAACAAACAATTTAAACCAATCATATTAATAAAAGTGACACAGAGAGTTTCTAAAGAAGAACCCAAAGGCTCTTAAATGAGAAATTGAGAACCCATACTTACTATCGTTCTTCTTCTTTTTTTGATTATTTTGTATTATTAAAATATTAAGAGACTCATTAAAACCACCGTTGGATATACTTTAATGCTCTCCATTAATTGCCAAGACACAAATTTTCTGCCGACGAACAAATTAAACTACGGCGGATCCAAAATCTCATCCGCACAATTGTAAGTAATTATTAATTTCTAAAAGATATTCAATTATCAAATGAAAAAAAAAAAACATGTAACATACAATTATATCATATTAATCACTATATTCGCTCGTACATTTTTGTTTGACTATTATTAAAATAAACATAAAAGAAACAAATACTACAACTAAATGTTTTCAAAAACAAATATATATATATATATATATATATATATATATATATATATATATATATCACTCAATAATATGTTAAGAGTCACATGCCGGCTATGAATATGCGTGATGGTTCATAAACTAATTATAAAACTAACCAAAATAATGAAAAATGGTAGGAGTACAAAACCTAGTTTATAGGCGTCTAAATATTAAAGTTTACATATAGTTTAATCTGGCTTTTTAGTTGAATCGCGTAACTGAACAAAATAATATAAATATTTAAATTTAACAAAAAATCAAAATATTTAGAACTGTTTTCAAAAATCATGATTTTGTGATGTCAATATTGCGGGTATTAACTTAGTTACTATATAAATTAGCTATCAACGGAAGCTAAGATCAAAAGTGAGTTAAAAGAAAATCGGAACTATACTTTTATCTTTTAAGGAAAATTCCATAAAATATACAACCTAATTATTACTTTCACTAAAATAGATGAATTTCTAATTACGTGCTTAATAAAATACATGAATTCATTTTTATCTTCCGTTATAATACATAAAATTTTAAATTATACCCATTTAACATACACGAGGTGACGAAAAGTAATATCTGTTACGTGTTTATTATTAAATATACTGAAAGTATTTTCAATTCCAAAAAATAAAAAAATTCCAAACATATTTTAAAATTCTTATAAAAAATAGAAGTTCTAAAAAAAAATTTATATTATTAAATTAAAATTATTGTAGGAACGTTACTTAGATGACAATGCTCTGTATGAATATAACAACATAATAAGTTATATTTAGTTGTGTTACATGTAATTTCTGTCATATATGATATAACATATATCTATGATTTTGAAAGATTTGATATTGTTTGACAAACAATAAATTAACATATTCGTAAATAATATATTATCTAAAAATATAAATTAATAAGTTTGACAATTTCTTTGAACTTTTTTTAAAGTCTTCAATTTTGTGAAAGAAGAGTGACACTGAATCTTCTCAACGTTCTCATGGATTAGGGTTAGATTATGACACCTTATATCAACGTTCTCATGGATTCGGATTAAATTATGACACATTATATCAATATGTCCAGCAATATCTCCGAGATCGGTCTTATGCTTAGCCCTTAATTTGATATCTAGTTGTTCGTAAACGACATCGTTTGGATTATCCTCCACAACAAAATCAACTGAGAATACCTTTTGATTTGGACAATTACTTTTTTGAGAAGTATTTAAAACGGCAGCGTTTAAGGAACTGAGCCTCACGGCAGTATCTCCTCCATAGTAGATAGAATACCTGCAAGACCATAGACAAAAGAAACCATTTGAAGCATCAAATTAATATTATTATATATTACTCTCCATTTGGACCGGTCCAAAAATACCTGGAGTTAGGGTTTGTGACGAGAAAATCAACGTGCCACGTGGCGGTGGAGGGAGAGACCGCAATGGATTGGATGTTGAATTTGGCCTGATAGGGAGCTTGGTTGATGAAGTACACGATTATTAAGGTGATTGCGCCGAGGTACATGGGTGTTAACAAAGCTATAATTTCCATGAGAGTGGGTTCACGATCTCTCGGAATAGTAATTATTGGTCGTGACCACCATCCACGACGAGGAGGAGGAGTGGCTGAGGACGGTGGCATTGGATCTCCGATCAAGGAGTAAGAAGAATCGTTGGTTTCGGAAGCCATTTTTACGTTTGTTTTTTTTTTCTTTTTCTTTTGGAGTAAGGTCATATGTTTTGAGAGAAAGAAATATTTTATAGAGACGTAAAGAGAAATATGGTTTACAAATTTACAATAATTTTGATTGATCTCAACTTTTTGTTTTCTTTCTTTAAAATGATTATGTGTAGATAGGATAGCTATTTTGGGGTTATTATGTATTTACAAATACAATCAAGAATTGAATAATATGATAACAACTTCATTTTTCTAATATTTAATTTCTTTAAGATAATCTCATCTAGGATTCTATCCCATATTGCATTTTTTATTTATTTTAATGCTTTGCTTCTTTTGGAAATCATACATATTTTTATAAAAGTGTTATAATAAGTCAAATAGCTAATGACACATGTCAAATGTTTAAATTATATGTTTTCTAATTTTAAATTTTAAATTGTCACTTATTTTTTGTTTTCTTTGTTATTTTTCAAATTTAAAATATGAATTTTTAAAATTTGATAAAATCTAGCACAAACTAAATTATATTCTTTAAATCTTTTGAGAATCCTACTAATATTATTTGGGAAGCTTTTACCCATTTCAATGCTTAAATCTGAATTATGCATCCATTTTAATACATCTCGTATCGAATTTGAATGTGTAATCGAATTTTAATGTGCTCAACACCATTTGTTATTTCGTTTAGTTTTCTAACCTAAGTTACAAAAAATCAACATATATGCTCAAAGATTATTCGTAATAGATTATGATTGATCCAATTTTTTTTTTTAAAGTTGCTGTTTATCATTTATGCATATGGATGATTTTCAGTAGATCGTTACATAAGGATTTAGGAAGATGCATTAGGAAGATCATATGTCGACTCTTAGGATAGTTCCAAGTTTGAGACCAAAATCCGTATAAGACCAAGACACAATGGGAATTATACGTCCCAAAAGAGGCTTTAATAAAACCAACTTTAAGTGGTAACTAGTATCCCGCTGCTCGTTTTGTCTAACGGATGATTTTCCTTCTCTAGAAAACATATGAATTACTGCTTAGATTTGTATAATCTTGTATTTGTTTCGATTTCTCAAATTTTAATCTTGAAATTAAATGCCACATTGAGTTGGTTACTTTTGTTAATTATATTGTGAGGTTACAAGTTCCACTAGATGAGTATACATTTATTTTCTAGAGAGACTACTCGTTACAACTTGGTAATATTCATAACTAACTTTTGTTAGTTTTGCATTTCAGTGTAACTGTGGATATATATCTTGCTCTTTTTTTTGTACTAAACTAAGGAACAACAATCTAATAAAAGATGAAGAAGAAGCTGATGATGAAGATGTTGATGAAAAAGAGTAATCATATCCTTTGTAGGTCGTTTTTCTGAGGCTCTTCTAATACATTTCTGATGTCTTTTTATTCCCTTTTAAACGAATATTTTCCATGGCTCATTGTTTTACTTAAAGCTAAACGAATACATTTCATGATTTTTCTCCAACCATCACTATACTAGGCTGCATGTTTATTTGGGAATGGTCATTCAATCATATTTTTATTCAACGGGAATTTGTGTAGTTAATTTAAAATATTTCGACGGATACAAAAAAAAAAAAAGAGTTATCCAATAATTTTAACTCAAATTAAAATACTAAAAAAAAACACTGTCATGAATACAAAACTTGTATTCTCTATAAAGGATTAATCATAGACATGATTTCATCAATCGTATAGTCAAGTCTCTGTTATCAATTAATAAGAATCATCACACTAATCTTATATGGTATCAGAGCTTCACGCTCCTAAAACCTAAAGTTTTCTAATTAACGTCATTTTTTTCTCCAACACAACTGATGCCATCAATCTCAACAAAAACACCATTCTTAATATTGATGTGTCCAATGTTTCCAAACTCACAAGCACTAACTATTTGATTTGGAGTTTACGAGTCCATGCTCTTCTTGACGGAAATGGTTTCGCCGGCCATCTTGATGGATCAAATGTGACTCCATGGGCCATTGACACTGTTTCGGATGTTGTGTCTGACAATCTCGAGACTTCGTCCGTTGGAAACGCCAAGATAAGCTGATATATATAGTGCCTTCTTCGGTGCTATTTCAACTCCTCTCCAACCAATGGTCTCCACTGTTTTCTGATTTAATTTGGGAAAAAATTGCTCCCACATATGCTAAGTCGATTTAGTAAAGTTCGCTTTGCTATTCCGTTCTCGAGTTTGGTGTATAAGGGCGGTTTCGGAAAATTATTTATGAACTGTTTCCAACTCGCTCAATTCCAAATAGAAATAAATCTAATTTAGATTGATATTTTGCTATATTTTATTGGTATATAGACAAAATCAGGAAATACATAATCAAAAATAGGAAACAAAAGTAAATATTAAACTTTTCTTTTTTTTTGTTAAAGGAAACATATTAAAATGAAGAGACTAGATTTTCATGTAAATAAGTTAATGATAGCCTTAGAAATTTGTCATCCACCGAAAAATTGTGAAATCTAATCCAAACTTTTAAAAACGTTCAACGGGAAGTATAAGGAAAGTAGGGTTTTAAGCATCTTTTCTTCTGTATCTCTATAAGTAGCGAAGTCTTAACACACCTCATCTCTTATCCTTCGATAGAGATGGTAAACGGCACGAACACCGAGCTATTCCTCTCTGGAGAAGCATCGAGCAGCCGCCCAAAGAGGCAAAGAGTTCTCTCCATGGAGAATGATGGAGGAACGGCGAGTGGAAATGAAGTGGCACGATCAGTGACACTGTTCGAGCTTGATCTTCTTGACTGTCCCATTTGCTGCAACAAACTGACGGCTCCTATCTATCAGGTCTCTCTTCTTCCTGGTTTAAAACTTTTTATTGATATGATTTTGTTGATATGAGACTTTAGATATATAACATCCATTAGCTTGAAATTCATGTAGTGAAAATATTAAGTTTGTTTCATTTAGTGGGAAAGTCGGCTTTTACATACCCCAATATTTTGACTATGTTGAATTCATACATTTAGGTTTCCCCTGTGCTAAAACATACTTTAACTTTTGATAATTTTGAATTACAAACCCGAAGTCGACATTTTGTGCCAAATCGTGCAGTGATTCGTATAGGACACTTTTCCTTTTGGTCAAGAAAACATAATTTGATGATTTTTTCGATTTCTCAAATTTAATCTTGATTGCCACATAGAGTTGATAAGGTGTTTTATTATTCTTTTTTTTTCTATTAGATATTTATTTATTTGATAGGTTTTGTTTTTTGATCAAAGACTTATTTACTAGACTAGTTGAAAATACATTTACTATGTTTTTTTTTTTTCTCTTTTGATGCCGTTAGTGATTTGCTTGATATCGATTATTTTCTCTTTAAAACTTCGATAATATTAACTACTAACTTTGTGGTTTTAAATCTCAGTGTGACAATGGACATATAGCATGTTCTTCTTGCTGTATTAAAGTGAAGCACAAATGCCCTTACTGCAGTTTGAGCATTGGTATCTACCGATCTAGAATAATGGAAAAAATTTTGGAAGCAGCCTTTGTCCAATGCCCAAACGCCAAACATGGCTGCACGGAGAAGATCCCATACAAAAAAGAATCAGAATCAGCCCATGAGAGGGAATGCAGCTTCACTCTTTGCTACTGCCCTGAAACAAACTGCAACTACACCGGGGTGTATAAGGATCTCTACGGTCATTACCATGCTAACCACAAGACTGATTACACATTGTTCAAGTGTGGCCAGTACAATGACGCATGGGTACTCATCAGCGACCAGGGGGTTTTCGACTTTTTGGTCCTTCAAGAATCTGAAGATGGTCCATTGGTTGTTGTTCAATGTTTCAAGGAGTCATATGGAATGTGTGTGACTGTGAACTGTATAGCACCTTGTGCTCCAGGAGTTGGGGAATTCTCCTATCAACTCATCTACCAGAAGGGAAGTGACTTTGTTACGTTTGAATCCGAGGAGATGAATAAGATTCAAGAAGTGACCTCCCAAACTCCATGGAATAAATACATGTTGATTCCTTACTATTTACTAGACGAAGGCCCTATGTTGAAGATGGAAATTTGCATTCGCCGATCAGGAGAAGAAGTATAAGAAGATGATGGTGATGGTGATGATGTGATGAAGAAGAGGTGTAATTATCATATCATCATATCTCTTGTAGTAGGTTATTAGGTTCATATATATGTGGCCTAGTAATGTATTTCTGATGTTTGTTTTGTTGTTGTTGTGGTTGTTGTTGTAGCTGCTTTCATCTATGAAAGCTAAACTTTCATCTTTCATTTTTTTTTTAATAAGAATGTTTTTTTTTTGTAATAATAATTCACTTTGATATTTAGTCCAACAAAAGATATTAGAATTGCTCTCTTAGTTTTTTCAATATTTAATTTTAATTTCTTGTTTGTTGATGATAGAACTACCATGTATAGTCGGATTCTTTGGCTAAATTAGCCCTTCATTTCTTTGTTAACAATGTCCTTACTTTGACCAACAAAAAAAAGTAGTTATTTTTTAATAAGAGGAAACAGTAATTGTATTTTTGCAAACTATGACAGATTAGTGTTATACTGTATTTATAAATTGATAGTGTGGTTTAATATTTAACAAACACATAGATTCCATATAATAACTAAAAACCGGAAAAATAAGTTGATAGATATGTGTTTTTTATGTTATTATTAGCATAGAGAAATAATGTGTGAAAAAGTTGGATATGAATTTGAAAAAATGATTGAATTTTCATCATGTACAAATTAAAATTTTGGGTGTTTTGTTTTTACAAAAAAAAATTAATTTAAGAAAGTAAAAAGTTTTCATATGAAGAAATAACTTAAATTTATGAAATTTATTTGATCGAAAATTTCATCATGATTAAGTGGATAATTTATTTAAATTAAAAGTCAAATATTAAGAAGATTAGAAGATTTGTTTTTTCTTCAACAAGAGGATTATAAAATATGGTTAATAATTAACTGGATGTATATAGCACAGAAATAATATAAATTAAGTAACACAATTATTTAAAAAAATCTTATAATATTTCCGAAAATATATATTATATTACTATATTTTAATTGTTTAACAGTCAACTTTTGTTAAATTGTTTTAATTAAAATCCAAAATATTAAAAGATAATCTTTATATAAAGATAATTTTGATGCATTAAAAATTTTTTTTGACGAAAATAAAAAGATAAGAGTAAGAAAAAATGTCCTCCACAGATTCTGAAATCTTTTACCTCTGAAAGAAAAACCTTCCGGCGGGAAAATAGAAAAGGGGATTAGGGTTTATACTCATCTGTTGACATACCAGCGAAGCGAATCCGATCGAAATCCGATAGCTATGGCCGGAGAAGCCTCGACTAGCCGCCGAAAGAGGCAACGAGTTCCCTCTATTGGCGAAAATGGTGGAGGAGATGCGGTGGCGCGATCTGGGACGTTGTTCGAGTTAGATCTTCTCGATTGTCCAATTTGTTGTCACGCTCTCACGATTCCTATCTTTCAGGTTTTGTTTCTTACCTCTTCCTACTTCACGCACTGTTCATTCTTCGGGTTTGATTCAGAGTTTTGAAAACTGTTGTGATTTAGGGTTTTTGGATGATTTTGGTGAAAACGTTGAGTATGTGTTAGAATTTTAGATTTACAGTGATTAGCTTAAGATTCATGCCTTAAAGATGTTTAATTTCATTATAGTTACTGAAATGTGGTTATCATGATTCGTAAAGAACACCTTTTTTTTTTCGATTTGATCGAATAGCGAACAGTGAACGAGTTCTGTGAATATATTGCTTGAAGAAACATAATGGATGGTTTTAGATTTGTATAAGCTTGTATTTGGTTCTAGTTTCAGTGATTTGTAATCCGTGTAACTAAGTTTTGTGAGTTTTGTGTCTCAGTGTGACAATGGACATATAGCTTGTTCTTCTTGCTGTACTAAACTGAGGAACAAATGCCCTTCCTGCGCTTTGCCGATTGGTAACTATAGATCTAGAATAATGGAGAGAGTTGTGGAAGCAGTCATTGTTCCATGCCCAAACGCGAAACATGGCTGCACAGAGAAGTTTTCTTATGGCAAAGAGTTGGTCCATGAGAAGGAATGCAGATTTGCTCTGTGCTATTGTCCTGCACCAAACTGCAACTACTCAGGTGTGTGCAAGGATCTCTATAGGCACTACAACGCTAACCACAGGGACACATGGAATGAATTTGGGTGTGGAAATTCCATTGGTGCATGGCTGCGCATCAGTGATAAGATTTTAGTCCTTCAGGAATATAGAGATGGTCCATTGGTTGCAGTTCAGTGTTTCAAGGAGCGAGAAGGAGTGTATGTGACTGTGAACTGTATAGCACCTTCTGCAGTAGGAGTTGGGGAGTTCTCCTATGAGCTCTCGTACAGAACGCCGATGGGAGGTAGGGACACTATGAGGTATAAATCGGAGAAGATGAATAGGATTCAAAAAGTGAGTTTCCAAATTCCGGAGAAGGGCTTCATGTTAGTTCCTCATTATTTCTTGGGTGATTGGTCTACGTTAAAGATGGAAATTTGCATATGCAAGCTAAAAAAAGAAGAACAACAAGACGAAGCTGATGACGAAGCTGATGAAGAAGAAGATGATGAAGAAGAAGAAGATGATGATGATGAAGAAGATGATGATGATGAAGAAGAGTAATAATCATCATATCATATCCATCGTAGGTCGTTTTGTTCGTAACTTCATCTACCCTTTTAATACATTTCTGATGTTTTTCTGCAGCTACTTTACTTTGTTATCTATGCACTCTAAACGAATAAGTTTCATTGCTCATTGTTTTACTTAATGCTGATTTTCCTCTAACCATCTGTTATACTTGCGTTTTTCTTTGAGCATCTTCTATGTTTTTGAATGTTGTGGCCATTGTTTGTTTGAATTATGTTCTATGTGGTGTTGTTGTTCTGGTTTTAGTGCTTCTGAAGGACAAGGTTTGATTCTTCTAACTTGTTTCTAGTAACATTCACAATTGGTGAGATCTTTCTCTAATACTATAAAATCAATTTGGAAAAGGCTTAGAATAATACCTTCCTGTATTACTTTCTTCACTTTCTTCATCACTTTGATATGCATTGATGTAAGAACAATTTCTTTTCTGAGAATTATACAGGGCTTTATCTGATTCCGCAACAATATTTACTCGGCTTTTAGAAACTTACTTGGTGTTGGAGGAGTTTTCCAGTAGATGGTTAGATGTTATACTCTGCATAATGTGATTTACTGATGATCCATAATTTGAGGATCACTCCAATCAGAATCGTCCACATCAGTTATGATAACTTGGTAAGACATTTGCTTAAAAAACGGGTGATGTTAGTAGAAACTTAGTAAAAAGCAATGTAATGTGTCATATGATTGTTCATTGTCAATGTCAAAAAAAAAAAAAAACAATTACGTTATTGATTGATTATAAAATAGAATGTGTTTGGCAATTAGATTAGACTAATTGGGATATGTAATATTAGAAAAAGAGTGTTTGACAAAAGAGAGTGTTTGCAGCATATGCCATTCAAACCCAATAACCCATTATTCTTACAACAAAATTTTGAATGTTAAAGATAGAATCTCAGCTATTAGTCTTGGCAGGAAAGCACCACAAACTGATTTGGATGTAACTAGGGATGTTAATGATGGGTAAAAGCCCAGTGGGTACCCGAAACCCGGTTATAATTTTAAGCCCGTTACCCTGAATTTTTACATTGAAATCACGCGGGTTTAAAATGGGCGGGTCTCGTTTATACCGGGCTTTACATGGGTTTTATTACCCTATCGGGTTTTGGGTACCCACGGGTTTTTTTCTGGTATTTCTATTACATATCAAGTAACCATTGATGAGTCTGGCCTTCTGGGTAAAGACATGGATATTATGCATCACGATTCTAATCAATACAGATATGATCATATACCGAAAGATTGGAAAGTTCACAAAGAACTTCAAAATAATCACTCTTCACAGAAAACAAAATGTTAATTAAAACGTTGGATAATTTTTTTTCAATGTATTTAAAAAAATAATAGTTTGCAAAAAAAGTTAAAACTAATGAGGGCTCATTATTTTTATTTTAATCATTTTTTAACCAGAAAATAAGTGACTTATTAAGTCTCCGGTTCAACTGATCTTGCAAGTGAATTTTTTTTGTTTTCATTTTTTGTTTGATAAAACAAATTGGCTAGCCAAAGCTTTTTCCTTGCTTGCAGCCCCCAAAATCTGAGAACCGGTTCTGGCTCTAATCAATGGTCCAACGAATATATATATGTACTAAATCCTCTTCCTCAGCCTTGCTAAAGTGCTCATGATGTTCTCGGTATGCATGTACTTTTATTTTTTTGAAGTTTAGTTGTGTGCTAGCTTAAACTGAAATAACGAAAAAAAAAAAAAAACTATTTGAGTTAAAAGAAGAAAAGCTAAGGTTATATAAGAGCATGTGTAAGGCAAGTCTCTCACCATAGTCTCTCAAGACTCTCAACTACAAAAATAATAATAAAATAACAAATATTATTATTTAATTATGTTAGTCTCTAAAAAAGTGGAGAGAGTTTCTCATATGAGAGATTATGAGAGATTCTTTCTACGTTTTTGAGAGACTCACCTAATTAAATAATATTATTTTTTATTTTATCATTATTTTTGTAGTTGAGAGATTTTGGTGAAAGACTTGCATTGCACATGGTCTAATATTAGAATTGAGGAAGTGGAGTCTTGGAAATATATTAGAAATTTTTGACAGGTACAATTATCAAATGTGGGAACCTTATCAAATATGGCCTGTAATGGTCCTATACTACCGCTTCCTTGGTCTATATCATATATATATAATAGCTCCAAGCCACACCTTTGTGCTTAAATTCGGGTTTGATGAAACCTCGGGACTCAGTTTGCATGTCAACGTGGAACTTGGAAAAGTGAAAAGATATGAGGTAAGACATGTAACAAATGCTCAGATGTTTTCGTACGTTTGCCATAAAATTGAATAATGTGTCGTTCATGCACAAGGAGGATCAATTAATGAACATAACTAACCTAGAGCCACACGTACGTGTTTTCCTTCTTTTCTTCTGCCTTTTCTGATTCAATCAGTTGACTAAGGATAATGACATGCACAATGGTAGTTAATTATATTGTATCACACATCTTATGAGTTGTAATATTGTCTACTTCAAACATTAGCCACCAAGTATAAACCGGGAAGTTTCTAGGGATGTATGTTTGCACTGATACGGCCGACAAAGCATTTTGAGATTTTGCACATGGATATTAAAGATCAAACTAAATCGAGTGGAGAATTCAAAAGAGACATCATGGAGATATTTATGTTGATAAGTAATTTATAGGTTCGAAGGGTAACTGGATGGAACTTAGGATAAGCTTTGATCATTGGTAAAATATGTAAATGAAGTGGTAACTACGTTATACCAGCGGAGGAATTGTTTTCAGAAAAATAAAACCTTAAAATGATATTCCAGTAGGTTACATTTCTTGTATATTACATCTTGAAGATATAGATTCAGTGTATCCAAATCTTTATTAAGGAAACAACAAAATTCAGTGCAAGATTTAGACCAAGATATTAGGGTTCAGGGAAGCAAAGGCGAGCAATTCTAGGTCCTGCTCAAAGGACGACATGTTCTCTTCAGGCAGTACTGTGACAAACGCTTCCTTGTCCGTCCTTGGAATCCATCAACATAGCCAAGTTGCCTAACACGGGGGCTACATTTCCGGCAACCCAAACCGGAGAACCCCATCCAAAGCTGGCCTCGTAAAGAGGTAGCTTGCACCAGCTACTCACCGTATAGGGTTCATGAGTCTCATAGCTCAACCGAGAATAGTTGGTGAGCATAAGATTTATAGTTTAGAACCGATCATGGAAGATGAGTCTGATGACCCACCCTCGTCTAGGATCATAGTTCGTAACTCCTCCCTCTTTTTTCGTAAGTCTCTAACGGCCTCTTCGATTTTAATTTCCCCTTCTCGACCAATACTCTGTTAGTGTTTTGAAGAACAAAACGAACTCTGTTCTAGCAAAGTATGAAGAACAGAATAAAAAACAGAGTATGGAAGAAAACTTGATCTTTATTGATAAGAGAAACAATGTGTTACACACGATCTCACAACTGTGTTATTGAGTTTGATTCTCTCTATTTATACAACACGAACCAACACGTTTGTTCATGTGTTAATCAAGAGACGCAACTTTACGAATGGACACGACTTATACATTCGTGACTCTTACATAAATAACTAACTTATACAAATATGACTTTAGTTTATACGAACTGATGAGAATTTGATTATAGTTCAACACTCCCCCTTAATCAAATCTCGGCTTCACTCCAAGCTTCTTCCTTAGATCTTCAAACCTTGTTCCACTTAAAGCCTTAGTGAATATGTCCGCGAGTTGATCTTCTCCTTTGCAATACTCTAGTTGAATGAGCCCTTTTTGTTCAGCTTCTCTTACATAGTGATACTTGATCTCTATGTGCTTTGTTCTTCTATGCTGCACCGGATTCTTTCCAATTGCTATTGCCGACTTGTTGTCACACAAGATGGGAACTCCCCCTTCAGTCTTGAGACCAAACTCCTTCAAGAGCCTTTGTAACCAAACAGCTTGGTTTGCTGCACCACATACGGCGATATACTCTGCTTCCGCCGTTGATAAAGCCACGGTTTGTTGCTTGTTTGACTGCCAACAAAACATACCCGATCCAAGAGTAAAGACATAACCTGATGTGCTTTTCATGTCCTTTGTAGAACCGCCCCAATCGCTGTCCGAGTAGCCAATCAGTCTTGGTGTCTCCACACTTGTAAAACTCATTCCAAAGTTTAACGTTCCTTTGACATATCGCAACACCCTTTTTGCTTCTTGGTAATGCTTCACTAGTGGTGATGACATGAACCTTGATAGATAAGAGCTTGCATACATCACGTCAGGTCTTGATGCACATAGGTACAAAAGTCCTCCAACAATGCTCCTATACTTAGTTTGATCACCATATTCTTTGTCATCATCCATCTTCTTTCCCGGTGGTACTAGTGGTGAGTTTACGCTCTTGCTTTCTCCCATTCCAAACTTGTCAATAAGTTTGTTTGCATATTTTTCTTGTGAAAGAAATATGCCTTGATCACCTTGAATTATTTCCATACCAAGAAAATAATTTAATAATCCGAGATCAGTCATCTCGAATTCTTTCTTCATGTTCTCCTTGAACGTGTTGATGAGGTGAATGTTGCTCCCTGTGATGATGAGGTCATCGACGTATAAGCTAACAATCAACACGTCTTCTCCTTGCTTCACGATGTATAAGGCCGCATCATTCATACTTCTCTCAAAACCGTTTTGAATGAAGTAAGAATCTATCCTTCCATACCAAGCCCTTGGCGCTTGCTTTAAACCATATAAAGCCTTGTATAGCCTTAACACCTTTTCTTCTTTGCCTTCAATCACAAACCCAGGTGGTTGTGTGACATAAACTTCTTCTTTTAGTTCTCCATTTAGAAAGGCTGATTTGACATCCATTTGATACAATCTCCATTTCATTTGAGCCGCATACGCAAGAATGGCTCTTATTGTATCATGTCTTGAAACCGGGGCAAACGTTTCAAGGTAATCAACTCCATATTCTTGAGAAAACCCTCTTGCTACTAGTCTTGCCTTGTGTTTGATCGGATTACCATTTGCATCCGTTTTGATCTTGTAGATCCACTTCACACTTATAACACGTTTGTTCTCCGGCTTGTCGACTAGTTTCCATGTCTTGTTTTTCTCAATCATGTTGATCTCTTCTTTCATGGCCTCTCTCCATTCTTTCTCAATACATGCTTCGTTGTAAGTTTGTGGTTCCTCATGCACTAGAAGACATTCTTCTACGACTTCAGCCGCTTCCTCAATGTCCACCCTTGGTGCTATTCTCATGATCTCTTGCATGGATTTGAGTTTCCTTGGAGCTTCGGATCTCTCTCCTTGTGTACTAACATGTATAGATCCAAATTTGGCCGTTAACATCTCCATATCTTCTTCGGATGTCTCCCTTTCATCACTTATATCCTCATAATGATGATCTTCTTGGACCAAAACGGAACTAGTGGTGTTTCCGTCTTGATTTTGTGATGTTTGTGGATCATTGATGGGAAGAACAAAGATCTTCTTTACTTCCTCTTGCTTGTTCCAATCCCACTTCTTGTTTTCATCAAACTCAACATCTCTTGATACTTCAACCTTCTCATTCTCCAAGATAAACACTCTATAGCCTTTTGACTGATTGCTATAGCCAATGAGGATTCCACGCTTTGCCTTAGCTTCTAGCTTTCTTCTCTTTTGATCCGCTATATGCACATAGCATATGCTCCCAAATATCCTCAAGTGTGACACATTTGGTTTGTGTCCACACCACTTCTCTATAGGCGTCATATCATCTTCAATAGCCTTTGATGGAAGGCGGTTTTGAATGTAAGCCGAGGTATACACCGCTTCTGCCCATAACTTAAACGGTAAACCTTGTTCAACAATCATTGATCTTGCCATCTCCATCAAGGATCTATTCTTCCTTTCTGCTACACCATTTTGTTGTGGTGAGTAAGGCAAAGTAACTTGCCTATTGATCCCTTCTTCTTCACAAAACTTGTTGAATTCTTGTGAAGTGAATTCACCACCACCGTCTGATCTTAACGTCTTGATAACGCAACCGGATTGCTTTTCTATCATGGCCTTGAACTTCTTGAACGTTAAGAATGTTTCTGATTTTTGTTTTAGGAAGTATACCCAACACATGTGAGTATAATCATCCAAAAACAACAGAAAGTAACGGCTTCCATCAAGTGATTGGTGTTGCATAGGTCCACATACATCCGTATGCACAATCTCAAGCTTCTCTTCTGTTTTTGTTTGAGATTCTTTTGGAAAGCTTTTTCTTGATTGCTTTCCAAGATTACACGCCTCACATACTTCTTTGTTGACTTTAAACTTTGGTAACCCCTTTACCAAGTCTTTGTCTTGCATTTGCTGCAAACGTTTGTTGCCTACATGACCAAGCCTTTTGTGCCATGTTTCCACTTTCTCTTGCTCACTTGCATTCATAGCTTCTTCTTGAACCGTTTTCATCTTGATTCTGAAACTTTTGTGAGTCATTGGGATCTCCATTATCCTCTTGCCTTTTGCATCAAGTATGATGCATTTCTTGTCTTCAAAACTCACTCGATAACCGCTTGAAATGATTTGAGGAACACTCAACAGATTTTTCTCCAAGCCGGGCACCAAGAACACGTTTCGAATGACCTTCTTGCCATTGTTTGTCATGATGGTAATATCTCCTTTACCGGCAGTCATGACTATTTCTCCATTACCGACTTTGATCGGAACTTTGACATTCTTGTCAATTTTAGAGAAGTATCCCTCCTCCTTAGTCATATGGTTAGTGCATCCACTGTCTACTAGCCAAACATCTTCTTTTGTTGTTGCTTCTTTGACTTCACTTGCACTAAACAACATGTGATCTTCATCACTTGAGTCTTCTTCTTTGAGCGACACTTGTTTGAGTAGTGGCCGATCCTACCACAATTGTAACACTTAATGTTACTCTTCTTATTCTTGCCTTGATCGTTCTCCTTCGGTTTCCTCCAACACTCTTCGTTGGTGTGGCTGCTTCTTTTGCAAAACTCACACCACCTCTTGCCTTGATTCTCACGGCTTCTAGTGTTGTCTTGTTTGGAACCGGTTTCTCTTGCTTTTGTGTGAGCATTGAATGCTCCCTCATTTGTGCTTTCATCTCTTGCAGATAGCCTTGCTTCATGTGCTTTCAAAATACCGATTAGCTCTGTCATTGTTAATGAATCCAAGTCGCGAGTTTGTTCCAAAACGCTGACAATGCTATCGAACTTGGCTGGGAGAGAAATGAGTATCTTCTGAACAACTTGAGAATTTGTTTTCTTTTCTCCATGATAAGTTAATTGATTTTCCAAGACAATTAACTTATCGGTGAATGATTTGATGTTTTCTCCATCATACATCTTCAGATTCTCGTACTCTCTACGCAACGCTTGAAGTTTGATCAACCGTACTTGCGAGGATCCTTCATATTCAGTTTTCAATGCCTCCCATGCCTCTTTAGAAGTTCATGCTGCTGCAATTCGTGAGAAGATTTGATCAGTTACGGCGGTTTGCAAGATTTGCAAAGCCATCGTATCACTAGCCATTGCCTCTTCTCTTTTTGCTTTTGCCGCCGCTGTCTCAGGAGTTTCTTCTCCTTGCGCTGGTTCGGCTGGCACTCCTTCTTCAATCACAGACCATAGTTTTCTGGTCTTAAGAATGGTTGTCATCTTAATGCTCCAGAAGTCGTACTTCTCCCCATCGAATATAGGGATCACTTGATGTGAAGAGCCTTGCATCGTTTCGGCTTATTTTGCGAAACGTATACGAAAAACTTTTTGCCTTTTTCTTGCTGTGATTGTTTGTGCTTTCTCTCTTTGTCCTCTCAATCGATAAGCTCTGATACCATGTTAGTGTTTTGAAGAACAAAACGAACTCTGTTCTAGCAAAGTATGAAGAACAGAATAAAAAACAGAGTATGGAAGAAAACTTGATCTTTATTGATAAGAGAAACAATGTGTTACACACGATCTCACAACTGTGTTATTGAGTTTGATTCTCTCTATTTATACAACACGAACCAACACGTTTGTTCATGTGTTAATCAAGAGACGCAACTTTACGAATGGACACGACTTATACATTCGTGACTCTTACATAAATAACTAACTTATACAAATATGACTTTAGTTTATACGAACTGATGAGAATTTGATTATAGTTCAACATACTCAAGGCCACAGAAGAGAACATGAGATTTCCGATCGATCAAGCTTTCTTGCAGAAGGGAAGGTATCTTGGAACGCAAGTTAGCGAGCTGGATCAGCACTTTGTGATCACAAGTGGTTTTCTTTGAGCATGCAGCTGCGACGAAGCATTTCCATAGAAGTGCAGTGACGCTCTCCACCCGCGTAGGTTGGTCTACTGTTTCTGCACTAGCGGCTTTGGTCCTGAGCTCTTCCACCTTAGAAGCTTTGAACACAAATCTCTTTGTAATGCTGATTCTCTTGCCGGCTTGTTCGTCCACAGGAAGCTTAAAAGCCTCATTGGCTGGTGGGTAAAAATTTGCTGCCACAAATTCTGGACTTACCTTCACAGCATCGTTCTCTCCTCGAGCCGTGGCGGCCCAAGACCGAATGAAAGTCGAGATGGAGGCTGCGTCCGCGATTTTGTGAAGCAAAGGCCATGTGGCAGCAGCCACGTATGGATTATCCACAACGTCTAGAGGAAGCAACCGTTGGAGGGCATCAAAATCAGGGCACTGGAGAAATTCTGTGAGAGGATAGTTATTGACACGAGCATCGACAAAGATAGCTCCTTCATCGGTACAATCTACGGTTACTCCGTTGATTCTTCCGGCAAGAGGGTAGAACTTTGTCAGGGTTTGAGACAGAGAAGTCTTGAGTTTGTGGGAAGTGTGTTCTTGAGAGATTAGATCATTTTTGGTGTACAAGAGAAAGGCTACTGTGTAAATGGGAGGAAGGAAGTGATCATAAATTGAGAGTTGGAGAGTTCGGAGATTATTTGGAGTTTTGGAAGATGGCTTTATGATTTCTTTACCAATGGTTTCAACCTTCATCGTCTCCATGGCTATATTTCTCTCCTCTTTAGACGGATATAAGTATTCCTTTTATAGTGGTAGAGAATGACTGTTTTTAGACTGTAAAAATTAGTAGTAAAATATGGAGATACATCAAATGTAACTCTCTAACTAAACAAATCTACAAAGTCAACACTTAACGCAAAAATTACTTGGGGGAGCTGTAGTGTAATCATGTTGGCGTTATCTCATTAATGTAACCATATTCGTTATAAGAAAATGATTTTCATTGATTAATATTAAGCACCACATGCATGCATTTTAACTGTCGTATGGCTTTCTCTGTATTTTTTGAAGATGAGATTGTTTCTTGACTTCCAAAATGGCCAGAATCCATTGTGGAAAAAGGCGTTGTGCCTTTGTTAAAACCTACATTTTCAAGATCTATGATACTTGAAATTGTATCCTCAATCTCATTACTTGGGTGATGTAAAACCAAAAGTGGAGTCTTAGAGAGCCTCCAAAATAATAATTGCAAATAGACATTCGAAGAACACATGACTAATCGTTTCATCAGAGAGAGACCATAACGTATGCATATAATATCTTGATTCATACCCCTAGTATTAAGCCGTGAAGTAGTGCTTAGAGAGCATCCCCATTGGTTGAGATAGTATAGTGTAATTCTATATTAAATTTTAATTTTAGAGTAAAAGTGAACCAATTAGAAGGATACATGTGTAAAAATTGAACCACATAACGTATGCTTTATGATTTCTTTACCGATGGTTTCAACCTTCATCGTATCTCCATCGATTTTTTCTCTGTTTCTAACTTTTTTTTTTCATGTTTTTTTTGTTTCTCTCTTATTTGGACGTAGGGTAGAGACGTTTTCCTTTGGTACAAGCACAAAAATTTTACATTATCTTTAGAAGATAGTTTAATTTGTTTTTTTTTTTTTTATAAACTCTATCGGCTGATCCGGTCAGCCCCGGTAGAAACGCACTGAAGTGCTTCAGAGTGGACTTCTCCCCGAATGACCACCACACTGTCTGTCCCGAGTTTGGAATGCTTTCCGAGTAATGCCAGGGGTAGCCAGATCGCCTGTTACTGACTACCAGGTAAACTGTTTGGGCCTTTGGCCCAAACCCAGACTTCCCACACATATGTGATTTTTGTTTACAGGGTGGATCGAACTTGGGTTAGTTCCTTCCAACCTATCCCCAGTTCTCCCTTACCACTAGACCACATATGTCTGGGCTAGTTTAATTTGTTTTGGTTAGGAAAGCGGAAAAATTGGAGTAATTGCACTAAATAATTTTATTTTCGAAATTTGAGGATATCATTTTCATTAAAAAAAAAGTTATTTGATATGGGATGTTCAAAACACACTTATGTTTACCAAAAAACCTCTCTTAATGTTCTTTTAGGGTATTTCTTTATTTTTATATCAATTTATTTTTTTATTTTTTTTGTAAAAGAAGAAACATAATTCTAAAATACTGTACCTATTTTTTTAATTAAAGAGTGTATATTTTGGATAGAATTTGATTTTTCTAATTATTAAAAAGTTTGGAAATATTTCAGTAAAAACATCTGAAGAAATTTTGTTATTTAAATATTAATATTTTATTAAAATATAAAGTTAAACTAAAAAATGTTAACTTACAATTTAGTCGATAACCCTAATATTTTGATCAAGATAACAAATCATAGAGAACTTCCATAAGCAAGCTTTTTTGGTCGTCTATTGAATCATTATTAGAGATATTTGATATAATCATATTATGATCATATTCCACTACATGCATTGTGATAGTGATGAACAGCTCCCTCAAACAATGATTCTACGGCGCAGCTCTCTCCGCAACACTCGAATCCACAACGGACGATTCAACATGTACGACATCTTCACAATATACATGCTCTTACAGCAACACACGAGAGTACAACAAACGGTTTTGTATGTGATATTGCTTTGCACCATTAATCTATAAGCGTTTTCTAAGAAACAAAATTTAGACGAATTGTAAGAATATCAATAAACTCCTGGTCAAACCACTAGACTAAGGAGATTTCCACAAGCAAAGTTCAAGTATGGAATTTAATGTTTGCTTCGACTCTTGAATTTTAATGTCTATGCCCAAACTTCTAATGAATTTCTAGTCTCAATAATGTACTGTTAGAATTTAATAAGTTGTTTCTGATTTTGTTCACCAAGACCATATCTAGATTTTGTGTCTTAAATATAGAACATAAGCAAAAATGATATAGAATGAGAAGCACAGAGAGTGAAGCAACCTCCAATAAATTTAGTCAGTGAGGTCTTTAAGAGCATCTCCAATGGTAGAACCCCTTATAGGGCCCTTACCAATATTTTTATTATAAATGTTGCATAATTCATAGTTAAGAATCCCATTAAGAAATTTTAATTTTTCCTCCTCCAGTGGTAGAAACTCACTAGGGGTTCTTAAGAATTTATTTTTTGAAAAATATTTTAGTTTAAGTATAATTTATTTTGTTAAAATTTATAAACATACTATATAGATATGCAAATCATTTGGAATGTTTTGGGACAAAATAAAGAAATACAAGAGATAGTAGTGTTTTGGGAGATGGAGAAAAAAGAAGAGATGGATAGAAGTCTTGGTTTTGTGATAGTTTGTGTGATATATAGCAAAATGTAGTATGAATGCCCAAATTATTTGATCGAGTATATATATATATATATATAATAAAACCAGACGTCTAAAACTTGGTAACCAATAAATCACTCAGCTTATTTTTTGGAATCGATAGAAATCTAGTTGAATAATGTCAACATAATGGAAAACTGGAAATAAGCTCACACATCACCCATCATAATAACAAAAGAAGAATAATAATCACAAGATGAGAGCATTTATATATAGAGAGACTGTTGAAGTCTTTTAAGGACATTTGAGTTTATTGCCATGTGTACGGGTATTGGCGTAGCAAGGACATGCTGCTGTGTTGCCGGAGGTTCCCGGCGGCACACACTGACACTTGGCTCAACAACTTACACAAGCTCTGTAACACACTTTCTTCCTCGATGTCTCTCTGCATCGTCTTCAAGCTCTTCATCTTCTGGCACACCACGGATATACAAAACATTGTTGCACTATTTACACAAAGTCAGCAAATTAGTTTCAAAGCAATTAAAAACCTGATTGTTAGTCAATGAATCCATAGCTAACAGAGACAAGATGATGAATGAGCGTCTAGCTAATGGCTAAGCCCAATTCTTAAGTTTTTTATCAACTAAAGAAACTTTACTGTGAATAATTTTGTTGGAAACATAAACTATCACATTCCAATGACTTTAACAATTAACAGTAATCAATTACATGACTATCAAATATCAAAAGAGAAAATTTCCAGTGAACAAAAAAAGTTTATAAAGTTTAGAAGGTACTTCTCGATGGTAACTACTATTTGGAGATTCAATCCAAGTATTTAGACGGTTTTCTTATATATTTTATAAAGTTTTATAAGGTATTTTAAAAGGTTTTAACAGGTATTTATAAAATTTTACAAGGTATTCGACTCATTTCTGGTTGTTTTGTTTATAAGCTACTCCCTCCGTATTTTAATAATTGTCGTTATAAGATTTTATTTTTTTTAAAATTAGATGTCGTTTTCAAATTTCAATGCAAAATTTCTTACTTTTTAATGTTTTATGACATCATAAAACATTAAAAAGTAAGAAATTTTGCATAGAAATTTGAAAACGACATCCAATTCAAAAAAATAAAAATTCTAAAACGACAATTATTAAAATACGGAGGGAGTATTTTATGATTTAATACATTTCATCAACAAAATAATTTTCTAATCATAATAGTTAATTATATGTAAATTCGAATATTAAGATTTAGTAAGTTTCCAAAATAAATCAAACTCAACAAAATTATATTGTCTGAGTGATTATACATCAAAATGTACTAATCTTAAGAAAATCAAATTTAAATATACAATTTACCCATGCTATAGTTTTAGATAATTTTGGAGTTATATATGAATTGATGTTGGAAGAGTTGTTAAATCTAACATATTTCGGGGAATTTGATATTTTCAAGTAACAAATAGTATTTGACAAAATTGCTAAATTTATTGAAATTTGAGTGGAATTTTTGTTCTCTGTAATACCATTTAGATCGAATAATACATAAAAATTTGCAAATAAAACATAGGAACTTCTCTTTTTTTGGTCGATAGAACTTTCTTTACTAAAATGAAGAAAATTACTCTCTTTGTATCAAAATGTTTGATTTTCTAAAGTTTTATTTTTGTATCAAAAAAATTGATTTTTGTATTATATTTAATATATATTTTTTTCAAAACCAATTAATCAATAAATGCTTTTACCTTTACAATGAGTTCATAATTAATTATAGGCATTTACAATGAGGAGGTAAACGTAAGTTTGTACTCCATATGTAGAGGAAATTTGAAAAGACGTCAAAAATTATACATTTAATATGTGGTGTAATTACAACTATTGGAAATAGATACTCGTACTCCTAAGACCATCTCCAATGTCCAACTCTATTTTTTCCTTTATTTTAGAGTTGACTCTATTTTAGAGGCATTTTGCTCCAATGTATGTCTCTAAAATAGATATTCCTCTAAAATAGAGAAAAATATAGAGTAATCTTCTTTTTTACTCTATATATAGAGTAATCTCTACATTTTTCCTCTATTTTAGAGCTAACTCTATTTTAAAGGCATACAATGGAGCAAAATCAACTATATTTCATCTAAAATAGAGTCATCTCTAAAATAGAGGAAAAAATGAAATTGGGCATTGGAGATGCTCTAACACTTGACTCATAACACAACAATAATTAATTGGAGAGAAAGTATAAAACATAATTTATTATTTTTTTAATTTTTGTAAAAATCGTTAAAAAATCAATCTTTTTTGATATAGAAGGATTATCATTATTATTATATAAGATACAAGTTAAAATATAATTTAATGTCCAAACTCTGGAAACGTTTGAAAAATTTCCGATAGCCATGGTGAAAGGCACTAACGCCGAGCAAGCCCTCGCCGGAGAAGCATCGTGTAGTCGCCAAAAGAAGCAACAAGTTCCCTCCATTGTTGAAGAAGAAGGCGAGAATGGTGTAGGAGATGTGGTGGCACGATCTGGAACGTTGTTCGAGCTAGATCTCCTCGATTGTCATGTTTGCTGTCACGCACTCACTAGTCCTATCTTTCAGGTTCTGGTTTTTACTTAGCAATTGCGTCCTCTTTGGGTTAATGATTTATAGGAAGAATCATTAACTAACTTTGTGGTTTTTGATCTCAGTGTGACAATGGACATATAGCTTGTTCTTCTTGTTGTACTGAACTGAGGAACAAATGCCCTGCCTGTACTTTGCCTATTGGTAAATATCGATGCAAAATAATGGAGAAAGTTGTGGAAGCAGTCATTGTCCCATGTCCAAATGGCTGCACTGATGATGATGAAGAAGAAGAAGGCGAGAATGGTGGAGGAACGAGGACTGGAGATGTGGTGAAATCAGCGGCAAGATCGGGAACGCTGTTAGATCTACATCTTCTCGATTGTCCTGTTTGCTCTAACGCACTCACGAGTTCTATCTTTCAGGTCTTATCTTCTTACTTCACCACTCTTCTCCTTATAATTGCATGATGATTTAAAATTTTGAAAATGATTGTGAGACTTTTAGGAAGATTTCATTTAGTAGCACATGCGTGAGACTTAGGTTGTGATTAACTAGAAATTCATGTTGTATAGATGCTAATTTCATTATAGTAATTGGGTGATTCAGAATTTCAAAATGAAGTATGTGTAAGAGGAAACCTAGCTTTTGTTGATCTTTTTGGATAACTTTGATTAGCTAGAAATGCATGTTGATTTCATTACAGTCACTGAAATGTGATTTACTAGTGTACCTATCACCGCTTTTTCGTTGTGAATATATTGCCTTAAGAAACATTATGGATCATTGTTCCTTCCTAGATAACATATGAATTAGTTTTAGATTTGTATTTGGTTCTAGTTTCATTGACTTGTAATTCGAGTAACTAACTTTGTGTGCTTTGCTTCTCAGTGTGACAATGGACATATAGCTTGCTCTTCTTGCTGTATTGAAATGAGGTACAAATGCCCTTTATGCACTTTTCCCATTGGTACCTACCGATGCAGAATAATGGAGAAAGTTGTCAAAGCGGTCATTGTCCCTTGCCCAAACGCCAAATATGGCTGCACCAAGACATTCTTTTATGGCAAAGAGTTAATCCATGAGAAGGAATGCCGTTTCGGTCTGTGCTACTGCCCTGCGTCAAACTGCAACTATAGCGGTGTGTACAAGGATCTCTACATTCACTTCAATGCTAACCACAGAAAAATGTCCAATAAATTTGTGTGTGGCCATTCCACCCGCGCATGGATGCTCATAAAAGATAAGATTTTAGTCCTTCAGGAATCTGCAGAACGTCCCTTGGTTGCGGTTCAGTGTTTCAAGGGGCCAGAAGGATTGTATGTGACTGTGAACTGTATAGCACCTTCTGCTCCAGGAGTTGGGGAATTCTCCTACGATCTTTCGTACACGATGCTGATGCTGACGGGAGGTAACACTATGACGTTTAAATCGCCGAAGATGAATAGGATTCAGAAAGTGAGCTTCCAAACTCCTGAGAAGGACTTCATGTTGGTCCCTTACTATTTCCAGGGTCAGAGGGTTACATTGAAGATGGATATTTGCATCCGCCCCTTGCAAAAGGATGAAAGAAGAAGCTAAGTAAGAGGAAGAAATTGAAAACTAAGAGGAATTATTATCAAATCACATATCAGTGGCCATTAATGTACTTCTGATGCTTTTGTAGCTACTTTTATCTATGCACTCTAAACGCTTACTTTTTAAGTTTAGATGGCTCATCATTTTACTTAATGCTGTTTTTTTGTGTTATCTCGGATTCAGATTCCTCTGCAGAAATTCTTATAAATACTAGCTAATTGCCCTAGTTATGTTCTGTTCCGGACTAAGGTTATATTGCTCCTGAAGGTTTAGGTTTGATTCTTCTAACTTATTTCTGGTGAATTCTAGAAGCAAAATGTATTAGAACATATAGTAAATATGAATCATAATCATAAAAGTTAATTTGTCACTGATCCTCATCTTCAAGAACAACCTCCTGTGATTTTGCCTTCTCTTCTTTGCCCCTGCTCTTCTTCATTCTCCAAAGTCCAAATGCTTCTCTGTTGGCATGATTTTCCAATGCCATCTCAGATCTCGTTGCCTGAAGATTCATATAATTCATCATTTACAAATAAAAAAATATAGTAATGTTGTAATTTTTTTTTCTTTCAAAATGTTATATACTCCCTCCGTATTTTAATAATTGTCGTTTTAGAATTTTTATTTTTTTGAATTAGATGTCGTTTTCAAATTTCAATGCAAAATTTCTTACTTTTTAATGTTTTATGATGTCATAAAACATTAAAAAGTAAGAAATTTTGCATAGAAATTTGAAAACGACATCCAATTCAAAAAAATAAAATTTCTAAAACGACAATTATTAAAATACGGAGGGAGTATAAATTAGGGCTATAAATTAAAGAAAGTTGGTAAATTCATGAATGTTATTTGATCGAAATGTCATCATTATTAAATGGATAATTTATTTTAAAAAAGAAGAATAAAATATACATTTTTATAATTAACTGATGGAATTTAGTACAAAAAATACTACTCCTATAAATTAAGGAAAACAGCAAGAAACAACAGTAATATATGGACAATGACTTATATCTTTTTCCCAAACAAATTTAATTATTAGTTCATTTCTTTATTTTTTTTTCACAAAATTGTAATCTTATTCATAACAACATGTGCTACAAACAGATTACAGCCCTAAAAGGCCCATACAGATATATTGCTTAAGGATGAAGAAAGTTTATCATTGTTCCCTCACCCAAAAAAACGTGTCAACAAGTGCTACACGTGTTGGATGAAAATTCTAAAAGCTTTCCGACATCAACCTCCGCCGTCTGAGATATCATTCCAGTGAAGAAAATCGTCGCCGATAACTGTAATTCGACCATTGATTATTCTGATTTTCACCAAAAACGAATCGAAACTCCAAACAATTGTAATCACGGATGAAAGGCATCTTAAATCGCGAAGGAAAATTCTTCTTTTCTTCAACTTTCTTTGCAAACTATCCCTGAAATTTCTGTAAACCGTATAGTATACCCAACAGAACGATCCGGAGAAAAGCCACCAACAAAAGTTATATGGATAAACAAATCAACTGTAGATCCAATGGTTATGAATTGATCTGATTCACCATAAGATGGTAAAGCTTCGCTTCAAATCTAACGAACATAAAAAAACTTGTATAAACATAGAAGAGAGGTGTGTCATCTCGCATGAAACTCTGTAAAAAACGGAGACGAAAGACAAATCCCCTTTATTGAAAGCAAATAAACAACACCTAACAAAGGTGACGGCAAGAACACGGCAACGGGAAAGCCATGTCGACGACAAGAACACGGCAACGGAGAAGCCATGTTGACGGGATCAAAGATAATAGTCTCTCTCTGAAAAATATTTGAGAGAGAAGAAAGAGAGAGACTTTTCGATCCTCTCTTTATCTTTTAGTTCATTTCTTTTAATTCTTTATCTCCAATGGTGAGAGTCCTCCATGGGCTCTCACCAATTGTTTAATATAAATTTTGTCAAAATTGTTAGATGAGAGCTTATGTTTTTTTCTTTTAGTTATTCATAGTCCAATGGTAGTTTATTTCTAAATTCTAATAGAGTTCTTAGAAAGAAAAAAAAATATAAAAATTATTATATTTCATAAAACTTAATAATTATTGCAATTCATAACATATTTAAACATACATTTATTTTCAAACATGTAAAAATAGATGTTCAAATAAAAAACTAGAATAACGATTACATTTTGGGAGATGGAGAAAAAGAAAATATGGAGAGAAGTCATTTTTTTGTGGTTGATGTAATTTTAGTTTTGTACTAGTTTGTGTGAGATATGAAGAAATCAGTCACATAAAAAGATGCTCTGTATATATACAAATAAAAATTTGGGTTACATTGACTCTTAAAATGACACACACTCTCAAAAGATAACATCAGAAAATGGTTTTATCCCATGTCACCTACTAGGTGACACCTAGCTTCTTTTTCTTCCTAATCGTACAACAATCCATTCTTTCCTTCAGTAAACCATCAAAACAAAACATAGTTTTTCTTTAATCATCTAATCAGTCCTTAATTGCAATATATAACCATCAACAACACAGCTCTTAAGTCATTATTTGCAGTATATAACCACTAAAGCACATATTTTTACTATCAGACCACTCCTTAATTGTAGTATTTAACAATTTAAAAGCACAGATTTAACTAACGATGTAAGAATAAACAGAGTTTAGAACATACCTCAGAGACTAAAGCTTGTTTTTCTTTCTTCAATTAAGGCATGTAAGAATAAACAGAGTTTAGAACATTGCCTCATTCAGGCATTTCAACAAACATGTTATGTGCAGCTACCAAAAGCTCACGTCAATAGCAAAATCAGCTCTTGGAAACCAAATGTGATTCAAATTACAACAATTTCAGACGCAAACTATACTAAACAACACAAAAGATCCCGAAATTTCCAGAAAAGCGAAGAACTTTTTTAAATAACCTTAAGCAATGGAGACTTCAGCACCAGCTACTTCAAGACAGAGATTTGGTGTCAAGCTTTAAGGCTTATATTTAGGTCATCATCCATTCATCAATGCTAAATATATTGTTATCAACAATGCTCCATTACGTTAAAGTAACATGAATAATCAATTTTTGAGTATGGTAATAGCAGAATCCATGTAGCTAGGTGTGATTAATCAAAAGGATTCTTTGTAACAGGAAGGATTCATTTGCAAGAAGCTATTACGATATAGTATAGTGTATACTTGTACATACATAGTTTTATACATGTAATCTTATTTAGTATATAAACTACCTTGTATACACATTTACACCTTAATGAGAAATAACAACTTTACCTTCTCTCTCTAAATCTAATATGGTATCAGAGCTTTCTCTCTCCTTCCGCATCACATTTCTCATTCGATTTCTTCGATTTTGAGCTTCGATCTTCATGATCTGAGCTGATTTTTCTTCAATCCGACCATCGATCGTCTCGGATTGCTTTTTATTTCGTTGGATTTGAGCTACTTTTGCTCCGTCTTCTTCGTTTTGTTCTCGCGATTTCGTTTTTTGTTGCTTCAATGGCGAATACTGTTGTTTCGTACGATAATCCGTACTATCTCACCAACAACGATCATTCTGGTTTGCTTTTAGTATCAGATCGTCTCACAGGTGCTGGCGATTTTGGATCGTGGCATCAGTCTATGCTCATGGCTTTGAATGGTCGTAACAAGCTGTGTTTTGTTGATGGAAGCCTCCCGAAACCCGATGATGGACATAGAGACGCAGCGACATGGTCCAGGGTTAACGATGTAGTACGATCTTGGCTCATAAACTCTGTTTCAAAGACCATTGGCCAAAGTGTTCTATACGTGAAGACTGCACATGGTATTTGGTCAAAATTGTTGCAGAGATTTAAACAAAACAACGTTCCTAGACTGTATCGTGTTGAACAAAAGCTCGCTAATCTACGTCAAGGATCATTAGACGTCAATACTTATTACACAAAACTGGTAACCATTTGGGAAGAAGTGAAGAGTGCACAAGATTTTCCCGTGTGTCAGTGTCATGGTTGTGATTGTGAACTTGAAAGAAAATGGATGGACCTATTTGAAAGAAACTTTGTGATTAAGTTTCTCTTTGGACTGAATGAATCTTATGATCATGTGAAAGAATCGATTATCATGCTTGATCCATTGCCTGATCTAGAGAAAACATTAAACATGGTTATTCAACATGAAGATCAGAAAGGTATTAAGCAGAATCCTCAATCAGGTGCTGTTGTTTTTCAGATGAGTTCACAGGATGTTCAATCTTCTGATGGATCTTTTCAAAATGGTCAAGTTTCTGATAATTACTCAAGTCAAAATGAAATTGTTGGAGCTGTCTCAGGAGGGTATAAACATAAGCAACGTCCGGTGTGTACTTACTGTGGTCTTCAGGGTCACATTGTTAACAAATGTTACAAGCTTCATGGCTATCCTCCTGGATACAAGCTTTCTAATCAGTCTTATGGTAGTCAGCAAAATCAGTTTGCTCCTACTCAATCTTATGGTGGACAACAATCTCAGTTTGTTCCCAGACAATTTCAAACTCGTCCTAATGTTCAGTTTCCTCAACAACAATTTGTTCCACAGCAGTATGGTCTACAGTCAAACATTCCTAATGCAAGAATGCAACAGAACAAAGGTCCAAGAGAGAATCTGGTTGGCAATGTAATCACCACTTCTCCTGCAGTTCAAGATCATTTTCATCAGGTTTCAAATGCTCTAGCTCAGCTTTCTTCAGAACAGATAGCACAACTGGCTTCTCAATTGAATACTAAGGCCACTTGTGAAATGCCGAGCATCTCTGAGCAACCTGGTGTCAATTATGCTTCTACTTCTGCAGGTAACTACATTTGCTCAACGCTTGAGGAACCTTGCCTTAATTTTACTGCTTGGATCATAGATTCTGGTGCGACTACGCATGTTTGTTGCAACTTGAGTCTGTTTGCTGACATTAATAGTATCTCAGAAACTACTGTTAAATTACCTAACAGTACTAAGATTGCCATAACTCAATCTGGTACTGTCAAGTTGTCAGATAAGCTTCTTCTCAAAAATGTGCTTTTCATTCCTTCTTTTCATTTAAATCTCATCAGTATAAGCTCTCTTCTTCAAGATTGTGCATATTCTGTTAATTTTTTCCCTTCCTTTTGCACAATTCAGGAGTTTACTCAGGGCTTGATGATTGGTAAAGGTCGTTTACAGAATAAACTCTATTTCTTGGATTCTGAGTCACAGTCATCACAGTCTCAAGCTTCTTCTCTCATTTGCAATCTCAATAATTCTGACTCCAGTTCTCTATGGCATTCAAGACTGGGTCATCCCTCTTTTTCAAAGATTCAAGCTCTTTCTGAAGATCTTTCTCTTTCCAAAACAAAGCTTAAAGATTGGTCTCATTGCAAGACTTGTCATCTAGCAAAACAGAGGCGTCTTTCTTTTCCTTCTCTTAATAATGTTTCAAAGAACCCTTTTGATCTTGTTCATTTGGATGTTTGGGGTCCTTTTTCTGTTGTCTCTACAGAGGGTTTTAGATACTTTCTAACTCTTGTAGATGATTGTAGTCGTGTTACATGGGTTTATCTTTTAAAATCAAAGAGTGATGTCTTGACTGTTTTTCCCAGCTTTCTTAATCTTGTTGAAACTCAATATTCACAAAAAGTCAAGGCTATTCGTTCAGATAATGCTCCAGAGCTTTCTTTTACTTCTCTTTTAGCCTCCAAAGGAATTTTCCATTATTTTTCATGTGTTGACACACCACAACAAAATTCTGTTGTTGAAAGAAAACATCAACACATTCTCAATGTGGCTAGAGCACTTCTTTTTCAATCAAATGTGCCTTTAGAGTATTGGAGTGACTGCATTAAAACTTCTGTATACCTTATAAACAGAACTCCATCTCCTTTGCTAAACAATAAAACTCCTTTTGAAATTTTGCTCAAAAAGAAACCACTCTATTCCAATCTTAAAGCCTTTGGCTGTCTTTGTTATGTGTCTACTTATCCTAAGGATAGACACAAGTTTACACCAAGGTCTGAAGCTTCGGTTTTTCTTGGTTATCCTTCGGGTTATAAAGGATACAAAGTCTTAAATCTTGAAACACATTCTATTTCCATTTCTCGCAATGTTATTTTTCATGAAGATATCTTCCCTTTTCAGTCTCTGGAGCTTTCATCAAACACTCTTGATCTTTTCTCTTCCAATATCCTTCCTCTTCCTATACCAGATACTTCTTCTATACATTCACCCATTCCTTTTCCCTCTGAAGTCTTATCTGATAACAGTAATTCATCAATAGATTCTGAGGTTACTATTTCTGTTAATGGAAACAGACCTAAGCGAAACACTCGTGTTCCATCGTATCTGAATGATTACCACTGTAACTTGGTCAATCACATATCAAATGACAGTGGTAATACCTCTCATCCTCTGCAATCTGTGTTGGATTATTCAAGACTGAATGATCATTATCAACAGTTCATATTGAATATCTCCTCTGAATCTGAGCCCAAGAATTTTCAAGAGGCTGTTAAATCAGAAAAATGGCATGCTCCTATGAATGAGGAACTTCAGACATGTGTTAATACTGGCACTTTCTCAGTTGTTTCTCTACCAGAAGGAAAACAACCGATTGGTTGTAGATGGGTTTATCGGATAAAACACAATGCAGATGGAACAGTTGATCGTTATAGAGCTCGCTTAGTAGCTAAAGGCTACACTCAACAAGAAGGTGTTGATTACATAGACACTTTTTCACCAGTAGCAAAGCTTGTCACAGTGAAATTGCTATTGGACTTGGCTGCTAAGCATGGTTGGTCTCTTACACAAATGGATGTAACCAATGCATTTTTACATGGAGATTTACATGGACTTGCCTCCTGGTTATACACCACCTAAGGGAGAAACTTTGCCACCTAATGCTGTTTGGAAGCTACATAAGTCCTTATATGGCCTGAAGCAAGCATCAAGACAATGGTACAAGAAATTTTCAGAAGTTTTGCTGCGAGACGGTTTTCTACAGTCAGAATCAGAACACACTCTGTTTGTTAAATACAATGATGGTATCTTCATTGCCCTACTGGTCTATGTTGATGACATTGTCATTGCTAGTAACAATGATGATGCTGTTTCCCAATTGAAAGCCACTCTTGCTGCAGCTTTTAAATTGAAGGATCTTGGTCAGGTCAAATATTTTCTTGGACTTGAGATAGCCAGAAATAAAGACGGCATCTCTCTTTGTCAGCGCAAATACACTTTGGATTTGTTGGAAAGTGTAGGTTTTCTTGGCTGTAAACCTGTTGCAACACCAATGGACTACACTGTTCACTTACATGCAGAGAGTGGGGATATTCTACCAGATGCAACAGTTTACAGAGCTTTAATAGGAAAACTTCTATATCTTACCATCACTAGAGCAGACATCACTTATGCAGTTCATAAATTGAGCCAATTCCTAGCTCAACCAAGAACTCACCATCTAGAAGCTGCTCATCGTGTGATCAGGTATTTGAAAGGAGATCCGGGTCGTGGATTGTTTTATTCTGCACATTCTGAGATTCGTTTACAAGCCTTCTCAGATGCAGACTGGGGTACATGTCAAGATACAAGACGATCTACGACGGGTTTCTGTGTTTTCCTTGGAGATTCATTGATTTCTTGGAAAGCAAAGAAGCAACAGACTGCCTCAAGAAGCAGTGCAGAGTCAGAATACAGAGCTTTGGCTGATACAACTTGTGAATTATTGTGGTTAAGTAAACTCTTGAAGGATCTTCATGTTCACATCAGTGGTCCTGCAACTATATACTGTGATAGTACTGCCGCAATTCACATTGCCTCCAATTCGGTTTTTCACGAGCGCACAAAACACATTGAGATTGATTGCCACATCGTTCGTGATAAACTGAGGGCTGGTTTTCTGAATCTCATGCATGTTACCACAGACAATCAGTTAGCTGACTTGTTTACCAAAGCTCTACCTCCCAAGACATTCAAGCTTCTCATGTCAAGATATGCATTTTCAAGTCTCTTTCTTCCCGCATGAAGAATTCGACTTGAGGGAGGGGTATTACGATATAGTATAGTGTATACTTGTACATACATAGTTTTATACATGTAATCTTATTTAGTATATAAACTACCTTGTATACACATTTACACCTTAATGAGAAATAACAACTTTACCTTCTCTCTCTAAATCTAATAGAAGCTCCCTAAACAAATCAGCTGCACAAGATCTTCCTGTTCTTGGCGAGATTTTAAGGATTCAAAACTTATTGGAGCATGCTCGATCAACTAATTTAGCCAGATGGTTAGCTAGATTTTCCAACTGATACGATGGCATTGTGACAAAAGCAGATCATGTAAACAACTAAATCAATCAAAGCTTAATCATCTTCCTATCTCACAACGCTTTGTTAAAATGGCATCTCTAGCTATATCTATTATTCCTCAAGTAGCAAACAAGAAACTTCAAAGTATAAACCCATCACAACTATCAACCTTAGGGTCTGCTATAACTAGTTTCACAGGTAATCAGAAACTAATCGTCTCCATCAGTCCAAAGCATAACACAATCAGAGACAAAACTTAAATTCTTTATACAGTCAGAGCTTGAGTTGTTTCAAATTCCAATCAAAAGAAGAAGCAATTGCTTCAATGATTCTGCTTATTGAATGCAAACAAATACGAAATTTAAAGATTGAGTAACCTGTTCCATAGCAGCCTGAGCGGCGGTCATGAGCTTAGTGGCGAGACTGAGCTATAATTTGCGAGAGTCGGGAAAAAATTTGCGAAGAAGGAGACGGACAGTCGGACACAGCGTGTTTGTTTTTTTTTGGGTCAAAAATCATCAGACAATGAAGGACACGTGTGCGGCTCTCTCTGGTTCTCAAAACACTCTCGAGAGAGCTGACTCTCTTGATAATTATGTATTTTGATTTATTTTAATTCAATTTAAAACAGAGAACCCCACCCTAAATCAACTAAAACCCTCCGTTGGAGATCATTTTTTAACAATCATTTTTTATGAATTTAACAATCATTTTTTATTTTTGTTTCAATTAAAATCCAAAATTTGACCAAAAGGAAAGAAATGTCCTTCATACAGATTCTAAAGTCTGACCCCAACAAACTCTGAAAACGTTCCGGCGGGAAAATAAAATAGGGAACTAGGGTTTACATAGTAGCGACTAGTGAAGCGATTCCGATTGAAATACTTAATACCTCCAGATTCCGATAGCTATGGCCGGAGAAGCTTCGAGCAGCCACCCAAAAAGGCAACGAGTTTCTTCCATTGTTGAAGAAGAAGGCGAAAATGGTGGAGGACATTCAGTGGCGCGATCTGGGACATTGTTCGAGCTAGATCTTCTCGATTGTCCCATTTGTTGTAACGCACTCACAATGCCTATCTTTCAGGTCTTCTCTTCTTACTTCATCACTACCACTGCTCATTCTTCATTGTTTTGAACGTTGTTGTGATTTAGGGTTTTGGGGAAAATGTTGCATTAGGAAGTTGTTGTTTACAGTGTCAGAGGGACTTTAGTTTTTGTTGATGACAGTGATTAGCTAAAAATTCATGCTTTAAAGATGTTAATTTCATTATAGTTATTCGATGATTCCGATTTTCGAAAACTTTTTGGTTGAATGATTTTGGGGGAAAATGTTTCATTAGGAAGATGATAATTGAAGTAAATGAAGTGTTTAGCCATTTACAAGGAAATGTATGAGAATCTTTTTAGTATTACTGGAGATCATTGTAATGTAGGTAACAATGATTCGTATGGAACACATTTTCGTTTTGATCGAATAGCAAACAGAGTTTGTGAATATATTGCTTGAAGAAACATAATGGATGATTGTTCGTTTCCAGATAACATATGAATGACCAATTTTAGATTTATATAAGCTTGTATTTGGTTCTAGTTTCAGTGACTTGTAATCTGATTAACTAAGTCTTGCGAGTTTTTTTTGTTTTAGTGTGACAATGGACATATAGCTTGTTCTTCTTGTTGTACTGAACTGAGGAACAAATGCCCTTCCTGCACTTTGCCTATTGGTAACTATCGGTCTAGAATAATGGAGAGAGTTGTTGTAGCAGTCATTGTCCCATGTCCCATTGTCGCCGAAGAAGCATCGAGTAGCCGCCGAAAGAGGCAACGAGTTCCCTCCATTGTTGAAGAAAAAGGCGAGAGTGATGGAAGAGATGTGGTTGTGCAATTTGGAACGTTGTTCCAGCTAGATCTTCTCGATTGTCCTGTTTGCAGTAACGCACTCACGATTCGTATCTTTCAGGTCTTGTTACTCTCTACTTCTTCTTGGTTGATTTTGAGTTTTAAAACTGTTGTGAATTTAGGATTACGCTGATTAGCTAGAAATTCATGCTTTACAAATGTAAATTGCATTAGAGTAATTAGATGATTCAGAACTTCAGAAACTTAGTGGTTGCATTAGGAAGATGATAATTGAAGGAAGTGAGAATTTAGGCATGTGGACATGTGTGAGAGTAAACCCAGCTTTTGTTGATCAAGGAAACATTTGAGAATCTTTTAGGATAAGTGGATAACTGTGATTAGCTATATGTTAATCTCATTACAGTGAGTCGTAAAGACCATTCTTTTCGATTTGATCAAACATAAAACGAGTCCTGTAAATATATATTGCTTGAAAAAACATAATGGATGATTGTCTTTCCCAGATAAGATATGTGATACTGCTAGTTACCGGTTTAGATTTGTATATGCTTGTATTTGGTTCTAGACTTCTAGTTTCGTTTACCTTGTAATCGAGTTACTAAGTTTGTGTGATTTGCTTCTCAGTGTGACAATGGACATGTAGCTTGCTCTTCTTGCTGTAGGAAACTGAGGCACAAATGCCCATCCTGCTCTTTGCCTATTGGTAACTACCGATCCAGAATAATGGAGAAAGTTGTCAAAGCAGTCATTGTCCCTTGCCCAAACGCCAAACATGGCTGCACCGAGACATTCTCTTATGGAAAAGAGTTAGTCCATGAGAAGAAATGCAGCTTTGCTCTGTGCTATTGTCCTGCACCAAAATGCAACTACAGCGGTGTGTACAAGGATCTCTACAGTCACTACGCTGCTAAGCACAAGGACACTTACCATCGTTTCAGGTATGGGTATTCCCATAATACATACCTGGACATCGAGAGGAAGATTTCGGTCCTTCAGGAATATGCAGATGGTCCATTGGTTGTGGTTCAGTGTTTTAAGGAGCCACAAGGATTGTTTGTGACTGCAAACTGTATAGCACCTTCTGCTCCAGGAGTTGGAAAGTTGTCCTATGATCTGTCCTATGATCTATCCTACTCGATGGGAGACGGTGCTATGACATTTACATGGTCGGAGATGAATAGGATACAGAAAGTAGGCTTCCAAACTCCAAAGAAGAAAGACATGTTAATTCCTGACTATCTCTTTAGTCGGGTGGCGTTGGTGAAGACTTTGCGTATTTGCATCCGCAGCCTAGAAGAAGAAAATGAAGAAGAGGAAGCTGAAGAAGAAGAAGATGAAGAGGAAGCTGAAGAAGAAGATGATGAAGACTAAGAGGAGGAATGATCATATCATTTCCGTTGTTGGTCGTTTTGTTTGTATAACCTTCTAATGCATTTCATATCACTCACCTGCCGAAATTCTCAGTCTCTCTTTTGTTGTCCTATTTACCTTAGTTATGCTTCTGAAGGACTAGGTTTGATTCTTCTAACTTTCTCTGATGAATCACATTTGGTGAGATCGTTTTTGCTAGTCTAAGAAATTTTTTTGTCAGGAATGATCCATATTGGCATAGATAATGATAAAATGGTATGATAACCTCTGTTAGTAAATATTTTGACCAAATTTATTACATTAAAAATCACATGATCGACATAAAAGGCTTGGTAGCTTTTGTTGTTTTAATCTGGAAAGGGTTCTAATTAAAAGAATGGATCTTCCGATGAAACTGGGTGAAACTCATTCAGCCAAAGTTGGTCATAATCCACCAAAAAGTCGTTAATATCACATTCTTGGTTCATGGTATGGTCTGTTGCGTTGTCGTCAATGGTAATTGCTTGATGATCAGTTGATGTATACCTAGGCAGAACCAATTCAGATGTAGCATGGCCAAATTGCATCATTTCAGAACCGTATGAATCATCATGAACCGCAAAAGTTTTACATGTATGTTGTCCCATATAAGTGGTTCTGTAAACTGGAGGACTGTCTTGGATCATCTGCACCTGCTTTGTAGCATTGCAGTTTTGGTCTTTTGCATAGGCACACCTATAGTAACACCTGTAAATATCACACTTGTATTTACATGTCTTTTATGAATAGAGAAGAACATTTACTCTGTTTTTCTTATGGATATACCATTGGCTCTGTTTTTGTAATCTACCTAATTAAACTAACCTTTGGTACAAAGAGGTTTTGATGGTTTTTTGTCCATATTTCCTCCAGGTGAAAGAAGTAGAAAACGCCCAAGTTTAGTGATAGGTAGAAAACGTCAACAACAATAAATAAATGGGTAAATTGCATGGCAGGGCATAAGACCATGTTTTAATTTCAGATTTTGGCAAAGTGAGAATTGGTTTTCAAGTTTTGACAATTTAGCCAAAATCTGACCATTTTACCCTTGCCAGCGTAACGATGTACTGTTCAACGTACGGTTCAGTTATGCGGTTCAGTTACGTACACTGTTCCGGTTAAACAATATATTTTCGTTTTTAATTGATTGTTGCGGTTGTACAGTGACAAATGGGGATTAATAACATTAAACAAACAATGAGACATCAGGATTTAATGCCCAAAAAGTTTAGACATGACTCATGTCACAATTAATGCAAAAGTCATCATTACTTTTTCTAATATTAGTTTATATGTGTGAATAGTTGTAAGAGATAAACATGATCCATCAAACAAACAAATTAGTCTGAACGAATGTGATGCTGGAGAAGTTTTGATCTTCTTGATTTACAAAGTTTGGAGCCAAGACAAGCATTGATCGTGTAAGTAATGAAATTGGTTAAGAAGTTTTTTGTTATAACACACTAGGGTCTTGATTGTGTTTCGAAATCAACATTGTTTTTATATAAAAACCCAGAATATTTTTATTTCTAATTTTTTTAGTTGAAAATGCTAAATGAGGATAGATTTATGTATATAAGTGTGTAGTTGGGAATTCTTTTTGTTTTTTGTAGATATAATCATGCTTTCATTTGCATTTAATGGGGTTCTGCTGAATTTATGATGCAGGTGGGTAATGGATATTCCCGTATTTACTATGGTGGGTGAGTGGAGATGCAAAGAAGAAGGATGGAAATTTGAACCATGGGAAGGCTGGTTTGGTCGTTGTGTACGTGTTAAGGAAAACATGACGTACACGGAATTTGTACGTACATTATGCGAGGTTTTCAGTTTGAAGTCCACCGAATGCAATCTAATAATTAGTTACTGGATGCCGGGAAAGATTTCAGTGATGATAGAAAGTAAACGCCCTCCTGTCTACATTGACAATCAAATGAGCCTGGATACCTTATTTTTGATTCGTGGTGGGGATCCTAGTGTCATCTTGTTTGTCTCTTTCATTACAACCGTCAAGGCACTCGGGAATACTGTCCCTAGGACCGATGGTGACGATGGTGAGAGTTACCGTGTGTGTGGGAGTGCAACGACACCAAATCCCATCGTAGCGGCTTCAAATGTAGATGGAAATAATGAGGCCGTAGTGAGCAAGACGACGTTGAAGACGATAAAACAGATGAGGATGAAGAAGAGGAGGAGGACAACGAAGATGGTGCTGGGTATGATGATTATCAGGGTGATGATAGATCTATGGGGGGAAGTACCCTCGATCCTACTGTAGACGGTAGTGAAGGCAGTGGCGAAGATTACAATTACAATAAGTGTAACGATTTAATTGTTGAAGAATATGGAATAGGGAATGTTGAGGAGGACGTCATTCTCACTCAACAGACGGTTCAACATTCAGAGGAATTCAGTCGTCTATTGGCAGAGTGTACGTACACAAGTCAGTATGTACCGTACACCAACCGTGACTCCAAGACGTACGTGTCAACATGGTTTGTACCAATGTACGTACACTACAGAATGTGTACAAGATACATGCTGCGAAAGTAACACGGATACCAATAATAATGGTATAGACTAAGTCACTAGGGATGATGTTATCGACCGTGGTATTGGAGCTTCCGCAAGTAGGACACTAAATGATAATCGGCTAGTTACCGTACACCAACCGTGACTCCAACACGTACGTGTCAACATGTTTTGTACCAATGTACGTATACTACAGAATGTGTACAAGATACAGACTGCGAAGGTAACACGGATACCAATAGTAATGGTATAGACGAAGTCACTGGGGATGATGTTATTGGACACTACAAGAAATTGAAGTATTGATAGCAGTATAATATAACGTTTAATGCATTTTTGCTATAGTTGACATACCCTTCAGTTTTAGATAGCGTTTGATAAAGTGTAAACGATTTGGTCAGATTTTAGTTTTGAAAACGCATTTTAGAAATATAGAACATATAGCACTGGTACATTTTAAAACGCTGTGAATTTTTATGCGGAAAAATAATTTTATTTGTCAACTAAATACTTAGTCAAAAAAGAAGCGGCTAACAAATTTTCATTCTCGCTCTCATTGTTTCACTCTCAAACTTTTTTTTTCACTATTTCTGTCCATCTTCGGATAATCATCGAAATCCTTTGCCCTTTCGTCACCAACTCACCAAATTCAGAACTATGCTTCTCCTCCGACGAAATCCTTAACTCAGATCCAGAACCAGATGAGTCATCTTCCTCTTCTCAACCCAAAAAAACCCTAGTTACACACATTCTTTGGGCAATTAGATTCTCAAATCATGTCGTTGCTCTCCCTTTCACTCTTCGTTGCGAAATAGAACCCTAGCTACCGTTGAAGCAATCGAGACATGAGCTCACATGGAAGAAGATCCGTCTTAGATTCAAACGAATCATTCGATTGTTTGATTGAATCGATTTAGCATCTCTTTTGTTGTTCAAATGATGTATGTGTTACAGATCTGTTGTTGCGAACTAGTAAGTCTAATGATTCTATTGATTTTGGTGAACCCTATGTTCGTAAAAGTATGTACCGGAGCTATGGAGGAAGACGATGTCTGATGTCATGAGATTCCTGCAGAGGGTGAGGTGTAGACAATTCGATTGGCCGTCTCGCCAGGCCTATAACTCAGAGTTGGTGTTTGCTTAACAATTTCTCCACTGCAATTTTTTTTGATAGGTTGAGAAATCGAGCATTTTGTTTCATTGCCATTGACGCATTGGTAAGCTTTTGCACTTCGTATTCGCTCTAAATTTGATTTGTTGAGTTCTAAGCCTTTCAGGTATCTTCTAGCTTTATAGATTCATGAATTGTTTCTTCCAGAGGTTGACTGGTTTTTCATGAATTGTTGAATCTAGCTTTATTCTATGATTACTATTGATAAAAAATATAGCAAGAAAAGGAATTATAGATTATCACGTATCATGCTTATAACCATAGAACAGTTGAGGTATGTGTACGCAAGCTAAGTTCCTCCTTTTTATTAATAGAAATTGATGAAACGTATCCAACATTTTTTCTTGCAGCGTCTTAAGATTGAAGTCTTTGGAGATGATGGTGCAACCTCCAAACTTTCAAAGAAGGACGAAATTGTTGTATGGCAACGGTTAATAGCTTGACAGGTGCAACCCTTAAACAGTCATTGATCTAATTTTCTCAGTCTTATGGAATTGTTGTATCTCTTTGTTGCAGAGGCAATTATATGAAGCTTTCTTAAACAGAGAGATTGTTCTATCAGCCTTTGATGGTTCGCCTCTAGCTAGCAGCTCTAACGGTAACTTGAAGCTCTCTTCTTGTTTTTCTATTTGTTTGTTTGATCAAGTATGTGTGTCCATGGGTTCTATTATCCAGTAAATTCGTTAAATAAGTGTAGACTTAGTTTTAGATCTTTATACAATTTACTTAGTTCTCTCTTTAGGATATATGTTACATGAGACAGTGGCTTCCTTTTCTCTCTAATTAGAATGATTTCCTTTTTGGTTTCAGATCTTAACTTGATAACCAACTATGCTTCTACTTCTCTTTATTGTTCTGATTAGAATGATCTCTTTTGATTCTGGTTGCACTTGATCAATTCGTAAATTTGTCTTTCAATTTGATTTGTTGAGCAGTGAGGTTATATCATTGGAAGGGCTTCAACAAGAACTTGAAGAATGTGAAAGTGATGAGGTAAGAACTTTAAGACCTTGAATTTAGATCCAAGGATATGATGTCCTCTCTATCTTGTTTGTGTGTTGATGATGAAGGAGAAGAAGTTTCAAAGATTAGAGGTTCAATTGTCCTGTCTCGAAGATGTTTGCTGATCCGGACACACCGGAAGTGGAAGAGATCGATCAAGATGGTCGTTTTTTAGTTAGACGGATTTTTTATCCCCTGTCTTATTATTATTTAATACTACAATTATATTAAGTATTCTTTATTAAACTACATAAAGTTGTTGTTATTTTCAAATTACTTCACTATGATTAATAAACTATTGGAAACCTGTACGTACATTTTTACGTATACTTCTATTATCTTGCCAGTGTTACTAGTATTTGCTAGGTGTACGTACAGTTATACGCCATTATTTTGGATGTGTACGTTTTACTAGTTTGATAGGCCATGTACGTAATATTTATCATTCGCTATGTACGTATTTCTTGTACGTACACCAGAGACAAAGTGTTTAATACTT